AGGAGCCGAGGCAGTGGCTGAGACGAGGTCAGCTACAAAAAAAAAAAAAAAAAAAAAAAGCAAAAAATTAAAAGTGAGGGGAAGAAAAGAAAAAGCAAAAAAACAAAACACGATAGGAAGCACCACAAAAGCATCGTCGAGTCGCCAGGACCAGCGTCTTGGGCCCTGTCGAGCCAAGCTGCAAGTGCTTGTTAGTGCGGGATTGACGTTGACTGTAGCCAAAGCTTAGAAGTGCCTCAGTCCGGCCCAGACCCAGAGCCAGCCAACCAAGTCAGCCGCCCACTCTCAGTCGGTCTACCTCACTCGCTCGCTCTCCCTCTATCACTGTCTCACTCTGACGCGCTCGTCTTGAGTTGCATTCCTTTGCAATTGTTTGGGCGCTTTTGTTTTGTTCTGAATTTTTACACGAAAAAGTCATTTGAATATGCGTCCTCGTCGTCATCCTGGCACCTACTGTGCCTCCCGCCTGCCTCCACCTCGCCAGCAGCTGCGTCTGCCCCCCTCTCTCTGTCTCTCTCTCTCGCTCAGCGGATTGAAAGTTTTGTTAGCCGTCAGCTACTTTGCTCGTCGTGCTGCCTGCCTGCCCGCCTGCCCGCCTGCCGTCGTGCTTGTAGCTGCCATTTCCAAGTTTTTAGTTAAGGTTGAGGGCATGACTTGCGGCTGCCATTAATGTTCTCCGTGCAGCCTTGACAGGCGACTGCTGCAACAAATGGCGACAATAAACAGTACATTGTACATAAAACACTCTTGTGCACTCATCAATGGGCGAGCGAGCGTCATTTGTTGCTCGGCGCGCCTCTCTTTGCGATTCTCGTTGAGTGCCCAAGTTCTCTGGCAGCGAATTGATTTGAAAATTTCAAATTGACTAAGAACTTTGACTAAGATTGAAACGCACAGCTGCAGAAGAAGTTGGGCTTGAGACTTGCTCGAGTAACCACAGGACCGAGATCAAAATCTAAATAGAGACGCAACAAATATTGCTGCCTAAACTCTGGCAGATATGCTTAGGCATGCATGGCATATCGGGCAGCATGCAATGCCAGCTAGCATCTAGTTAAGAGTCCTTTGGGACGTTTTGCTGTGTCTAATCCACTATCAGTATGGCAAATGTGCTTACCGTGCGCAGTCTTTAAGGGTCACACACACTATCATGCTTGCTGGACATATGTCTCTGTGTGCGTGTGTGTGTGTGTGTGTGTGTGGTGCACAAATATTGTGTTCCGTTTTTTGCCTGCTAGCTACGTAAGCATTAACTAGTTGAGTCCTGACTCTGAGTGTGTGTGTGTGTGCGTGTGTGTGTGTGTGTTTGCCTTTGCTTCTCTTTGTGGTGTGAGTTAAACTGGTTGCTGGCGTTTATCTCAAGTTTTGTGAATGCCGTTGGCTGGTTTAGTTTGGCAACATATTCAGCTGACAGCAGAGAGAAATGCGGCACGACTGGAGGACGCCTCTTGGCAACACCTCAACTGAACTTTGACCGTTTGGTAACTCATTTAGTTAGATTATTTACGGTAATCCAAGACGCTGCCAGAGACAGCAGCCAACATCCGTACACACACACACACACATACTGCTGATGATGGCGACTTGGGCGGCTTCGCTCTTGGCCTCTGGATGAAGCAGCAATAGCAAACAAGCAGCCCATAGGCTAAATACATGCAAGTTGTTTTGCTAAATTGTGCGTAAGCCAGCAATAGCAACAACAACAACAACAACAGGAGCAGCAACAACAGCAACAATTGTAGCTACAACAACAATAATGCAAACAACAACTGTAACAGCAACAAGGATCTGCGACTAGGAAACTTTCTCAAGCTCTGCAAGGCAATTCAAATAAGACTTTTATGTTGCTTCCTTGCAACACGGCTGCTGCTGCTGCTGCTGCTGATGCGGGTGGTGCGGGTTGGCCTGGTGGTGGTGCGGGTGGTTGCTGGTGGTGGTGCTGTGGTGGCGCCTCTTCAACTCGTCTCGTAGCTGCTACGTGTTTGCGGCGTGTGTGTTACATGATTGCCACGCCCACACGGCTGCCCTCCTGCAGCTGCTGCTGCTGCTGCTGCCGCTGCTTACCTTGGCAGCTTGTGCGTGCGCTCATTAGCATTCTGAAACGGCTTTATAAAATTCAACAAGCAACAATCCAAACGAACCAACAACAGCAACAACGACAACAGCAAACCAAACCAAACTGAACCATATACAGCATCAGCATCAGCATCAGCTTCAGCTCTGGCCCTGCTCCCCTTGGCTTCCCCTAACCCACTCAGACCCCGTCGCTGCCTCTCCCTCTCCCTATCTCTCTCTCTCTCCCTCTCGCCGTCTCAGTTTAAGGCTCAGCTATTTCACCCACTACAGCGTGCATGTTTTTAGATCTTCTAGTCTGCATGTCTCTGTTTGTTGTACTAAATGTGCTGTAAAAACATTTAAAGGGTTGTTTTAGCCCCTGCTTGACTAGAAATTCTCGAACTTATTTTCTTTAGTTCTTAGAAACTTTAAAACTGCAGCTGCTTGCCTAAAGATAGTAATATTGTTTATGAAAAAGCTTAACGACATGCTTTCATTAACACGTATATTTAAAGAAATCTTAATAATTATAGCTTGAACGACCTTTTGGAACTTTCTTGGATCTTGAAAGCACTGATGTATTGAAGGCTTAACCTTCTGATCAATTGCTTATTGGATAAAAAAGAAGCCTTACAGTTGGCTTATAGCTGAGACAGAGAGAAAGAAAGAGAGGGCGAGAGAGTAATAGATTCTTGTATATAATTGAATGATCTTCCTCTATATCTCTGGCTCTCTCTCTCTCGCTCTTTCTTTCTCTCTATATCTATTGCTCTCTCTCTCTCGCTCTTTCTTTCTCTCTATATCTATTGCTCTCTCTCTCTCGCTCTCTGTTTCTCTCTATATCTCTTGCTCTCTCTCTGTCTCTCACTCTCTCTCTCTCTCTCTCTCTCTTTCACATAGTAAACGAAGTATGCGAATCTTTCAAATGCTTTGAGCTACTCATGCAGGGTATCTCTCGACTCTAGCTGCTTAGCTATTTGTTGTTATTTTGCTTTTTAGTGTGCACAACAGGAAAGAGAGTGAAAGAGAGAGAGAGAGAGGGAGAGAGATACCCACATGCACATCCTTATTCTGTTGTTATCCTGGCGCTGTCTGTCGCTGGGAGTTTGTTTTTATTTTTTTTCATTTTTTTGTTGTTGTGCCTCTCGCCTGCTGGCTTGCCTCGAGTTGCATAAATTGAATCTGAATTTGTGAGTAAATTGCACACAGGAGACACATTATTTTTGAGTTTTGCCTTTTAAATTTGTGGCTTTTCACTTTGTGAGAGACAATAGGCGTGCGAGCGAGACAGCGCCAGTGGCTGAGTGTGTGAGCGAGTGCGGCGATGTCTGTGCCCATGTAAGTGCAGCAGCAGGAGGCATTGCAACAGTCTCGGTGCCTCAGCTTTGTGTCACTTGCCGTTTGGCAATTTTTGTGTGTGTGACCCACTTGAGTGGCGCAGGCACGCCCACCAGCTGGCCGGAAAGGTCGCTCGGCCACGCCTACAATTTAAATCAATATTAATAGCGTAGGCCTCTTTTTCCGCAAAATGCATTTGCACAAATTGCTCGACTATAAATACCAGCAGAAATGTTTATTTAATATGTGCCAGGCGCTGCCGAGTACGTACGCTCATCTAAATACACCCAGCCCACCTAGGGACACACACACACACACGCACACGCACATGTACATATATGTGCACTTGTATATATACTATAACTAAAACCCCTTTTTCCAGTTCGTAGTTCAAGCTTAGATGCAATGCAATCCGATTCTCTCTCTGTCTGTGTGAGTGTGTGTGTGTGTATGTGTGTGTGGAAGCTTTTCCATATGCAAATTGTTTTTATAAATTTGCAACAAGCTCTCATTGTTATTGTTATTGCCGCTGCTGCTGCTGTTGCATAGCAATTTGTGTATAAAGTTGGTGCAATAAAAAGCCAAGTGGACAAGGAGCAGCTGTAGCTGGCCATTGGTTCCGGTTACTGCGAAGAGTGGTATAATCAAAACCGTAACAATCGCCACAATTGCAATAGAATCGTCGTTAATTACTGTCTGTGCTTGCGGTTCAGCTCCAGCTCCAGCTCCAGCCCCCTCTCACACGCTCTCTGACTAACAACCAGCTAGATTTGATGTGTGTGTGTGTGTGTGAGCGAGTGTGTGTGTGTGTGTGTGTGCAGCGCCTAAAAGAGCAAGACAAATACGAACGAACGCTGCTGCGGCTGCTGTGTGTCTGGCAAAGAAGTTGGAGCTGAGTCTGGAGTCGGGAGTCTGGAGTCTGGAGTCTGGAGCAGCATCGTTAAGCGTCGCTGCCAAGTGGCAAAACTCAAATAAACATAAACGTGCACACACATACAAATACAGAGCGAGCGAGAGAGCGAGAGAGCGAGAGAGGGGCAGAGTGTGAGGGCACAGCCAAAATCTGTGAGCTTGGTTTGTTGTCTTTGGCTGCTGCTGTGTGGGCATGGGAGACTCATTAAAATGCAGTGCGAGATAATAAGCATTTTAATTAAATATTTAACAAGAATAAGTTTATCACAACACGAAACGAGGGGAGTGTATATACATATACATACATATATATCTTGCTCAACCCAACTCACTCTCTCGCTCTCTCTCTCTCACTCTCTCTCTCTCTCTCTCTCTCTGTGTGTGTGTAATGGCTTGTAAGCGTCTGTCAGGTCGAGCATTAGCGGCAAGGCAAAGCGCTCGATTCGACTGGCATTTGGTTTGGGCCCGGCGTCGTCGTTGACTTCCACTTGCCTAGCCAATATTTTGATGTAATTTGAGCTTCTAATTGGCGCACGTGCTGGCACGGTTAACGTTCTCGGGCAGGTTGGCAGGAGTTCAGGTTTATCGAGCTGCTTGTCAAATATTTAAGCAACTTGTCTAACCGTGTTGATATTTACTTTCATCTCTCACTCACTCACTCTCTCTTACTCTCTCTCTCTCTTTCTCTATTGCAGGGGCTTTGGCTTTGTCACATTCAGCGATCCAAATAGCGTAGATAAGGTACTCACCCAAGGCACACACGAGCTGGATGGCAAAAAGGTAAATCTCTACAAACAAACACCAACACATATGCACACCCATACATCTATACAGAAAAAAAAACAAAAAAAAAGAAGAACTACACGCCAATCCGTAACTCGAACCCAACTCATGACGTCGGCAAACAAAAAACTTCACCAGCTATGCAAAATATTTGCACAAAGAAACTCTCGCGCGCGCGTTCGCTTCATAAATTGCCTCCCATCTCTGTCTCGCTCACGCTCTTCGCTCCCGTCGCTGCCTCTCCCTCTCTCTATTGACAGCAATTAGAAACTCAAAGCAATGACAGGCAACTAACAAAAACAGCAAATCACAAAAGTTAAAAAAAAAAAACATGGCAAAAGCCAAAAACAACAACACACTGAAGAAGCAGCAGCATCAGCAGAAAGGAAACAATAACCTGTCTATGAAAAGCGCAGATTTTTGTAAAAGCCAAACAATTTTTAATTACGTCAGGTGCCGGCCAGGCATTGGCTGCGCCTTTGTCATTACAGCTTCTCATTTCCTATGTAAATATCAGCAGCAAAGGAAAAATCATGCTAAATAATTTCAAATATTAGAGGCAGCCTAAAGGCCCTCAGATATGAAAAAGAAAAAACAAAAAAATATAATTTTTTTTTATACATAAATGAATTGGTTAGAGTAGTCAAAATATGATATTGTGCAAATTTGATAGACGAAAGGCAAATTATTTGTAGCCTTAGCACACTTTAAGTCAAAAATTCTTAAAAACAAATTAAATATATTTTAAGCCATATAGAAAACAAACAAAGCCACAATAGAAAAATATGCAGATGCGAAGGCTTGAAGGAGCTTCATCCATAACTCTGCTCGTAGTCTGTTCAATACGCAGAATATAAGGATTTCTTTTAAATACAATTAAATAAGCCAAACAGCGTTAGCTAGACATCAAAGCACACACACACACACTCGCACGCACACAAACAAGCATGAGCTTGGCCAACGTCTATGGGCACGTTCAGGCTGGCTGTGCTTTGCTTTGAAGATATTTCCAGATATTTACATTAAATTTGACTTCAAAATACAATCAAAATATGATTTTTAAATGAAAACGCAGAATTAATTAGAATGCAAATCAAAGAGGGAGAACCCTATATATCGATTACTTTGTTGAATTTTTAAGAGTAGAACTGGACTTTTTTTTGTGTTATATAAAAGCAAAATTTAAACTTAAAGATTTTTAATATTAATAATTTTTAATTTAATAGCAGAAAAAAAATTAATTTTTTTTATTTTTATTTTTTTTTTTTTTATAAAAAAATATTAAATTTCTGTTTTACAAAAATTCCTGAAAAATGTTGGCTTACAAAAGAGAATGAAGAATTGGATCAACAAAGCTTTTCTTATGAAAACGGAATTGAGTTCTATTATAAAATTCAATAACTTTTGTCAAAGCTATGCGAATTTAAGGATTTTAAGGATTACAAAGAAACTCATCTCAATGGCCTATGAAGATTTAAAAAAAATAATAAAAATGCATAAGCTAAACTAAGAGACAAATGCCGAGTTACTTGAAAGTCAGTTGAATGAAATTTGTTTAATGAATTATTAGGTTATCTCTATTTTCAGAACTTAAAACTTTGGTTACAATTCAACAGATATATAGAGATATATGTATGTATATATATTTATGTATACAAAGAGACCGAGAAAGAGTTCTGAGAACAGACGAAACGGGCTCATATATTTGCATACACAACATACATACATACATCTACACATACATATGTATATGTCTACAACCTGTTCAGTCCACACTTAACGCTGTAATCCGCTTCATTTGTCGTGTCATTGATCAGTTCATTTTGATTAGCATTTGGCATTGGTGAAGACAGCAGTTGGTGCTTGAAGGCAGCTCACATTACGCATACGCCGCATTGGCATTAGCTTAATTAGCTGCACGGTGCACATGAGTGTGTGTTGGTGTGTGTGTGTGTGGGTGTGTGTGTGTGTGTGTGTGTGTGTGTGTGTGTGTGTCTGCAGTTGGTCACTCTTTTATGGCAACACAGCTGGCCAACTGTAAATAAAATGCGCAGCCATCATTTATATGGATATGTATTTCACTTTTCTATTTTTTATTTTTTATTTTTATTTACCAAACCAACTGCAGCACACACACACACACACACAGACTAGTAAGTGTGCGTGTGTATGTGTGTGTAGCTCAGTCGTGCAGCGTTTCGTGTTTCCGTTTGGCTGCACAACACACACACACACACACACACACACATAGAGCTCACGGAAAACTGAAAACGATGCGAATTCATTTCATTTCATTTCGTTACGCTTTTTCGGTCTGATGTATTTTCCAAAAAGTCGACGTCGACGTTTGCCACTCAGCGCTGATTAGTTTTAATTTTAATCTAAAAATCAATTTCCCGCCGGGCGACCGACCCCGCCCACAACAAATGTTGCTGTTGCTGCTGTTGCTGTTGTTGTTTTTCGTGCTGCACACAGGAAATCAACACGGCAAACTGCCGTCCTGTCACCATTTGCTGCTGTCCTGTGACAATTTTTGTGCGAATTATTATCGCCAGAGGATATTGCGTTGCTTTCACTGCCCAGCCACACGCTCGCCCCCTCGCCACCACGCCACCTCGCCGCCGCTCACTCCCTTTGTCTTGCACTCACTGCAGCTATCTCTGCCAATATCTCTTCATTTTATTTGCCATTTTATTTGCGGCATTGGCTTAAGTTAGCCCAGCACTTGCAGCTAAATGCAGCGCAAAGTCACTTCAAAAAGATTTATCCCACAGCTGGATGGGATGGGGAGGGGGCCAAGGCCAAGCCACAGATCCACAGGCGCCCCTCGAAGCTGCCCCCCCTCGTGGCTTACCGTCGGTTGGCTGTCAGTAAGAATGCTGGCGGTGCGGCCAAAATGAGAGCCAGCAAAGCACTTAAAATTGAATTTTTATGATTTTTAATTATTTTTAATGACGCTGCTTATTGAGGCAGCCAACACAGCAGGGGAGACGAGCAGTGGGGCCATCCTATATCCCATGGAGGAGCAGCTACTCTGGACGCGCAATTTGTTATGCGTTAATTCGTGCGTGCTCAGCTTTCAAGTTGAGCATTGCCACACCGACCAGCATGACACCAACCGCACCGCACCCCCTCCCCATCGTCCTTACTCGCTGTGCCCTCCCCTAGGAGTAATTCCTGCTTAATGCGCAATGCAGGCTTATGCAAGATTTATGCTTGGCTATTAATATGAAGAGTTGCTCGAAATGCTTTTTCATTTAAATGTCATTAAGCATACGATTTCCTCACACTCTCCACTACGCACGCTCCAGCTCCAGCCGTCTCACTCACTCACCCACTCTCTATCTCTCTCTCTCTTTCTGCTTGCAGGTGGACCCGAAAGTAGCTTTTCCGCGACGTGCACATCCCAAGGTAAGTACAAGCAAAAATATTACCAAAAAAAAAAAAAAATTCTATATGTATGTGTGTATAATATTTCTGTGCGAGTGCTTGAGCACTTGAGTTTTGGCTGCGAAGGGGGGCAGCCTGCCGCATCCTGGTCTGGGCAAAGGATGTGTCATAAGTAGCAGCAAATGGCAGATGAAATTAAAAACGGAAGATGCCAGCTACAACAACAAAAACAACAACAACAACAACATTAAATACCCGCCCAAAAAAAATACTGGCAGGCAGATAGCTTTGTGGCTGACAGGCAGCTTCAACTCCATCTACGCCCCACACTTGGCGCCTTGCCCCACTCCATCCGGCCCATCAGCTTCAGTTGTTTCTATGCCAGCAAAGTGATGATGACAACAAAATTTCGACAGCATTGGTTGTGCGTGTGTGTGTGTGTGTGTGTGCGTGGGTGCTTGTGCCCGTTTAGGACGTTCTCCTGCTTCTGCTCCTGCTGCTGCTCTTGCTGCTGCCACCATCTCTATCTTTATCTCGGCCCCTGCCACTGTCACAGCCGCTGCCTACTAAATGCCACACGCACATTTCGCTGCCTGCCACTGCGCTCGGTTAGACAGAGTTACAAATGTGTGCCCATCTATGTAGCGGCTTCATTTTTTCTTCCTTTCTGCCCGGCTGCTGCCGCCTTCACGAAAATATACTCTAAGCTGCAGAAGGAGTTAGGCGTGTCGAGTGCTGCATATGACGCGTAACGTGTTTGTACCTCTGGGAATTTAGCTAGAGCCTTGTGGAAATACATTTATTTTTCATTTTTTCGGCGTTTTCTAAGTTTCGAGTATGAATAGGGGAAGATTGAGTGGGGGGAGTAGGCAGCGAAATTTAGGTCAGGTTAATATGTGAAGCAAAGACTAGCAAAGCAGCTAGATGAGTCAGTTAAGAGAATTTAACATGAAGGAAATACTAAATTATTAAAAATAAAATTAAATATTTGTAATAAAAAACAACGATAATTTGGTCATTTTTTCTCAAGTTGAGTAGAGTGTCTTAAGATCTCTTSATCCATGAGGGTGAGAGAGAGAGAGAGAAAGATTTACTGAAGAAGACGTTATTTTGGATTTTAAAAGAAACTTATTGAGAAATTACAGACGATTTCAATTTTAAAAAGAAGTTGCTGAAAGATGTTTAGTATGAAAGAACAATTATTATAAAGATCTGGAGAAAGAGATATCAAGAAAATCCTCTTAACTAAAAGAGTTTTTCCTCAGGAGGCTTTTCTGTGATGTCTCAATATGTTCTTCCTTACCATTAGCATCCTTTACTATCCCACCTTACTTACTTTAAATCCAAAAAAAGATATAAAATAATTATAGAAAACATTCTTCTACTTTAAATAGCTTTTAAGCCTTACATATGGTAAGCTGGCCGTTTTGAAAATGTCCATGCATTAGCTGAAAACTTTCGAGAGCTCAACAAATTCCTTAAGCTTGACAACTTCTTAGAACACAACTCAACATGTCGTAAGCGCCTAAACTGTTGACAAGTTTCACATGGGAGAACTTAGGTGGCCAACTGGCGCAAGGCGTAAAAGTTAAGCTCACATAAAGGATTAATTGCTCATGCCATTGTTTGTTTAGGCACGGCACAAAGTTCGGCTCCAATAATAACCTCTGCTGAAAACATAATTCGCTTTGGAGCAGCTTAGCTGTTTTTATTCTAAGGGTATTTGCTAAGGCGGCTTTGTTGGAGTTTTTCGATTTCGCCACAGCGATTCTGCGACTAACCGCAAAGTACACCATAATACGCACCCAAAACGTCACACACACACACACGCACATACACGCACATACATATACACCCACATAGACATATAGACAGAAACAGGCACACGCAATCGCTTACCAAGTGCGAGAGCCCTGAGCAGAGCAGGACCCAGCCGTAGGCAGCGCTTGCTTACTGTCCCTCTCTCTCTCTCTCTCGCCCAATCGCCTAGTCTCTGTCTCACTCTCGCTGTCCGGGAGGGCTCGTTGGCAGCGCTTTGCTTATCAACACGCAGCTGATTTCCGTTGCTATTCCTGCGGCGCGTGTTGCCATTGCCATTTGCCCGCGTCCTGCCACGCCTCCCGGCGCCYTGTGGCAGCGGCAGCGGCAGCACCCAACAATTATTTACGTAATGTTATTATTATAATATTTTTTTAAACGCATTCTCACTGGATTTGCGCCATGCCACGCAACGGAACGCAGCGCAGTCGAGCAGGAGGCGGCACAGGGATGCGGCGGCAGGCGACTAGGACAACGAGGATGGCTATGCGGCATTTGCAAGTGGCTTTGTGTTCTGCTTTGCTCTGTTCCTTTTTCTTTTTTCTTTTTTTTTTATGCTTTGCTGCTGGGGCGCGCGAAGATCCTCTCGCATATTAAAAGGCGTTTAAAAACATAAATCCAACGTCTAACGGCTGCTTATGAAAATTACGAGAAAAAAGTGAGTGAGTGACGCGAAGGGATGGAGCAAGTGGAGAGAGAGCGAGAAAGAGAGAGAGAGAAAGAGGGAATGTGCGAGGTAGAGCGCAGCTTAGCAGGAGCCAAATGGCAGGCAGTCAGGACAGGCAGGACACCCAAAGGAGTTTGCTACGCAGGACACCTAAAAAAAAAAAAAAGAAAAAATTGCATGCGACATCAGAAGCGACAAAAAAAGAAGARAWAWAAWAAWAWAAAAAAAAAAAAAAAAAAAAACGGGGAGAAAATGACGAGAGGACAATTTCTCGCACCGTTTGCCGACGGCCCAGGCCAGGCAGAAGGATTGCCCACAAAATGTGGCCCAAAATGTTTGCGGTTGCAGCGAAAGTTAAGAGTTTTTTTTCTGCCCAGCTTCTTCTTCCCTATTTTTAAAGTAAAGGACTATGGGACTGGGACTGGGACTGAGCCATATAATGAAATGAAGCATACTAAATGAGCCTGCTAAGTTTTCAGTTGTTAGAGCGAAAGCGTGAGAGACGGGGAGCAAAGCGGGAGCGAGAGCGAGAGCGAGAGAGCGAGAGCGAACATAATGAAATGCGAAAAAATGATGATGATATTTTTGGACCATAAAATGCAGATGAGCCGACTAAGCACAAAAATAGTGTGGAGAGCTGAAGCACATTTCGAGTAGGCCTTGTGTGTGCAAGGGGTGCGCGTACACACACACACATAGGCACACACACATAGGCACACACATAAGCACACACATCTATACATACACACATCTAACACATTTTCATATTCAACATATTACACATACGCCGTGTGCGTCGCATCGACAACTCGTCGAGTCGTCGACTCGTTTTCAACGTTTGTGCAAACTTTTGTGAAGTTAATTTCTTTGCTTTTAAGCTCTCAGACTATGAATATGAAATGTGTATTTGTGCAACTTGTGTGTTTGGCCAATGGGTGCCACCGCAAATGCTGTCAACGTGGCGGGGGGATGGGGGTGAAGGCCCTGCGACTGGCTTACATATGTCATGTTAAAAAGTTCGTTTTAATGTGCAAAATTTTTGGTGGCCAAAGCCATAAAAGTGCATGGGATAAGTGAAATGGATTTCGCTCGACTGTCCCACATAAGTATGCTATAAAAACTATGTGAACAAAAACAGCCAAAGAATGAGACAAAAAAAAAAAATGAAAAAAAAAAATGCTGAAGAGAGAACTATACAAAACGGAATCTGTACGAACGACAGCGCAGCTCTGAACTTGCCGAGGATTTATGAGTGTTCGTAAGCGCCATTGTCACACACACAGCAATGCACACACACATAGACCGACACATTCGGCATATGTGGAAACAAATTTCAGCTATGCTGCCTTAAAATCTTGCATGCGATTTCCGCGAAGTCTTAATTAAATTTGCAAAAGGGAAACATGTGAATGGCTTTGTTTGATATGAATTATTGAGTATATACATATATGTATATGTATGTACATATATATAGTGTATATAGTTTTTAAGAAATTTTTGTGGCTATGAGCTGCAGTTGATTGGTTATCTCAAATCGATTTGATTGGCTGGAATTTTGTGGTCTTTGCTATGCTTGAAGCTGGTTTCACATAGTTTAGTAGATTTATAGGGCAAATATAGTATAGGTTGTATATATAGGAGATGTAGGAGAGATTGGATATACACAGTTCTCGACTATATTTCTCTATAGGTTTAATGCTATAGAGCTAACTATTCAATATAGTAAATTATAACAAAGTTTAGACTGAAGAGGATTGCAATTAATATTTTTTTTAAATTAAACTTGTGTAGCATGGAATCTAAAAATTATAATTATTTGAAATAGCTTCATCTATTTTAATCTAGTATCACCTAGTTTCATCTGGTTGCATTGGCCAGCAGAATTGAATAGATAATTCTTTATAGACTCAACAATGTTGGCCTCTATCAATTATCGCCTCGCACAGCGACATTTTGTCATGGTATTGACAATTATTTAACTATAATATATTAAGCTGTGTGCTGTGAGTGCAACATTCTTCAAATACAAATTGAGTGCGTGTAACATGATATATTTGAGCTCAGCCCAGACCGAGTGGACAGTAGTCAAATGGTGGCCGACCACAGACAATGCTACAAAATGATGCCAGCAAATGTGGAAATGTGGAAATGTGAAAATGTGGAATGTGTTTAAATGCTGGCAAATGGAGCTGTCAAATTATCGATTGTGATGGAATCTGTAAGCCTATTGGGCTTAAAATTCAAAATAGATTACAAAAACATAGGCGAACGTAAAGTTGTGGCCACATAAGTATGCAAGGGCAAAGTATGTATGCAATTAAGGCACAAATCCTGTCAGAGATATAGTGCCACATGTGTGTGTGCGAGTGTGTGTGTAAAACAATGCGGCTTCGATTGCATGACCATGTCATAATGAAGCACATTTTGTTCCATGCTGGCCAAATGACAGATATCAGCAGCAGAAGCGAGAGAGAGAGAGAGAGAAAGGGAGATAGAGAGAGATGCGAAAGCTTCACTCATGTTGCCATTAAATTAA